TCGGGTTCACCACTGTTTCCATGATTAGCAAAGTTCTTATATTTATCGGCAAGGTTGATGAGTTGAAGAAGAAATATGCGATTAGGAGTGGTTTGATAACGAGTCGGGGGAGTAAAGGGTGCTTAACATTTTTCCCAACTCCTCGAGCTCCTGATTTCCTCGTTCTCAAGTAGAGTTTTTTTTCTTTTTTTTTTCAGCTCCCCTAACTATGTTCTCATGAAGTAGTTTTTTTTCTTCAATTCTTCTCTTTTTTTTTGAAATTTTCTTTGGATGATTCCAACTCCATTTTGAGCATGGCATCTTCTACGTTGGAAGAAGCCTAAGAAGATGTAGACTTTGACTTTTAAGAGTATTTGCCAAAGGAGTGATTATAGTCCCAAAGTCTGGTCGGGCTTCCCTAACATTAGGGGACATAGACTGACGACTCTTGTAGTTTAGAATGTTCTCCTTTCCCAAAGATCTTTGCATACTATTATATATGCCTTCCAATTCTAATGGATGTAGGCTAATGTATTATCCTAAGAGGTGCATGATATTTATTTTCTGCCTAACTTTTATCATGTTTTTAACTAAGGGTTATGATGCATGATTTTTTTGCTATACACATTTTTTTTTTGTTTTTGAAATAAACTATCATATATGATGCTTTAAGGTTATGGTATACAGTAGGGTGTTAATTTTTGTATTTTATTAATATCTGTTTGTTTGTCTATAATTCTTATCTATTTGAAATGATTAGAAAAACACAACAAATGCAACACTCATATGCTTAAACAAATGTACACCTGTGCACAGTCACATCCAAATACTTGGTTTGTGGTCCTTGTCAAGAAAAGTGTGTTATATAGGACGGTTCTAATCTCACTAGTCTTTAAGGATCTCAAGGTGCCCCCCATTATAGGGACCCAATACCTCTGTCACCGTCACTTGGAAAACATCTAGGTTTGACACAGTATTTCAGGCTAGAGAAACCAATTGTCACCTTGAGTGTGATTTCTGACAAGGCTTGCAAGCTGTAGGGCCATACTTGGGCCAGTCGTACGTCAACCACTCCCTATGTTTTCACGCTCATGCCCCTAGGTGTAGGGGGAAATGTTGTGTGTAAGGGTTTGTGTACAGTTATTATTTCAAATAGATGCATAATTTAGACAGACAAACAGGTATCAAAGCCAAATAAAATAAAAACATACAAGGGAAACAAAGTAAAGGGAACCAATATTTGAATCATTATACTAATTTCATGATTTGTTCAGGCCTAACCCTCTTTAAACATCTCTAGTAGAGTCGCCATCTTTTGGAACCCAGAAAATTCTGATCTAACCCATAGATGGTTTAGACTTTTTTTTGAAAAAAAATATCATCAATTAAGGAATGTCCAGACACCAAACTAATCCCTAATCGATGGTTTTGAAAAGAGTTCATGGAGTCTCCAATGATATTTTCTCAAAACATCAAAAAAGAAGAAAGGAGTTTTAAAATGCCAAAAATGGTCTTCACAACCAAGATTAGGTTTGGGGGTCGGTTACGTGTAGGAAGTTAGGCACCCTATAACGCCCTAAATTGGTACCTTTATGATGAAACTAACGCGATAACAAATAACAACTTAAATATTTGGTTCCCTTTATTATTTGATTATTTTCATGCCTTAAATTTAAATTACTCAATTTACCCTAAGATGTCTACATGATTGTTCTTTTTAGTTATAGTAATATTTATAATAAAAGAAGTAGAAAATAGAGAAGAAGATTGGCGAGAATGCCTCTTAAGCGAGCTTTTATAAAGTGTTCTTCAAATAAAAAATCTCAAGAAATACAAAGAGAGAAGAAAAAAAGTGTCTAGACTCTAAAGGGACTTTCAGAGACTCAATTTTTGGCCTCAATAAGCCAAAAAGACCCCCAACACTACTCATGAACTCCATATTTATAGCTTCAACTCATACTGGAACAGCCCGTTCTGATGATCGAAATGCCCCGTTCTAGATGAGTTTGTTATGGGAAATTTTTGAATCCGAAATAGCCCGTTTCGAGATCAAAACGACCCATTTTGACCTAAGGTTTCCAAGCTATTTTTTATTCTTGGAATGGGCCATTCCGGTTTAGAAACGACCCATTCTGAACTACTAATTCTTACCTTTGTGCTTTTGGGCCTTTGGTCTGCTTTGGTATTGTTTTCAAGCCCTCGGGAACTCCTTCTTCATGCTAAAAGTCTATTTCTTCGTTTATGTACCCCCATACGAAATTAGGTGTCTACAATGACATGTCATTATTGGTGATGACTCTAATGGTATTTTTCGTCTCAAATCTCACCTTCAGCGCTAGTTTCATATGAAAAACCTCAGCCCTCTTAAATATTTTTGGGGATTGAGGTTGCTTAATCTACTTTCGGTATTGTCATTTCCCAACAAAAATATGTTGTGGACATTCTCACCAAGTCTGGTATGGTTGATTTCCGCCCTAGTGACACTTTGATGGACCCCCAACATCAAGCTTCTTTTAGGTTAAGGGGAGCCATTGGATGACCCGAAAAGATATCATAGACTTGTTGGTAGACTCAATTATCTAACTATCACTAGGCCAAACATCACATTCCTAATAAGTGTGGTAAGCCAATTTATCAATGGTCCTCATGATAGCCATTCGACTATAGTCATAAGGATCCTCAAATATATCAAGAAGGCACTAGATTGTGAACTTCTATATAAGGACAAAGGAGATTCCAAAATTGACTATTATTCTAATGCTTATTGGGTAGGATCACCATCTGATATAAGGTCTACCTTTGGCTATTGTGTTTTGATTGGAGGTAACTTGATTTCGTGGAGAAGCAAGAAGAAAAATACAATTGCTAGATCTAGTGCGAAAGCAGAATATCGTGTTATAGCAGCAGCTGCGAGTGAAATTACATGGCTACAACAACTTCTCAAGCAACTCTAAATAGGAGACACTTAGGGAACTAAACTCATATGTGATAATCAAGTTGCTTTTCACATTACCTCCAATTTGATCTTCCACGAGCAAACAAAGCATATAGAAATAGACTATCATTTTGTAAGAGAGAAAATGCTCTCATGAGAGATCACAACCGAGTTCGTCAGCTCTAGTGGCCAGTTAGTAGATGTATTACAAAATCACTTAAAGGGTTTCGAGTTGATTACATTTGTAACAAGTTTGATGCATATGATATATATGTTCCAACTTGAGGAGAAGTGTTAGGATATTGTGGAGATTTATTAGGGTTAATCATATTATATTATATCATATCATGTAAATCCTTATTTTTTTTTTATTACAAACAAGAGTTATATGTATTGAACATTTACACATAATTCCTAAATTACAATACTATGCAACATAAATTCACAAGAAAAACAAATTAAGAGACAACATGAAAATTTAGAAGAAACTTCCATGGATCAAACCAAGACCCGTGATACCAAAATAATAGAATCTAGGTGATGAATGAAACCCAAATTCATCCTCTTTGACTCCAAGATCCTTCAATATTCATCCATGGCTCCAAATTGAACAGAAACTAAGTAAATGATGGTGAGAAAAGGAAGATGAGGTGTGCCATAAAGCACATTATTGTGTAATATACCTTGTTTAAGGATGGCAGGGGATCTGTAGCAAGCAAATTGGAACGAATATAGAGCACGTTATCTAACCCCATCAAGAGTGATGAACTTTTTCTTCCTCACGTCATTTTTCCAATTTTGTTGCAATGTCGCACTTGCAACCTCTGCAACATCAAGTCGATATTTATTAATAGTTGGCCAACTCATCCCATAAACTGTAAATCTTTTCATAGTATTATACCATGGTCGTGCCTCTTTGTTTGCATTCTACCATGTCAGATTTCAATTGTTGGATTCGGGGTCAGTTCACAACTGAAAACCTTTCCCTTATGTCTACCCACATGTCCTTCGCATTTTCCATATAAGATATTGTTGAGCACAAGCTAGGCTCCACCGTGTTCAACATCTATGACACCAACATGGATTAAACAATCCACCAATCCTCAATCTTAGATGAATTTTCCTTTGGTTGTTTAATGGTTCCATCAATGAAACCCCATTTTCTTCTTTCCCTCAAGGACGTCCACATAGTTCGAACACATTCCTCATAATTCTTACCTCGCAGTTGCACATGTCTAATAGCATTTTGAGGGTTGTCGCTAGAGTTCAGGTCATATGGTGATGGGATTTTCTTGATGAGATGATATTTCAGTTGTTCTTTATTTTCTACCATAGAAGCCTGTAGGAGTGGTTAAGATCCTAGGGTTGTATAGCTTTGATACCGTGTAAAATGAAAAATTATATAAGTTTTAACAACTTGATATAATTGGTCTCGTGAAAAAATATATATATATATAATTATTGATTGGAGATGCTCTTACTCACCGCCGAGAATAATCCTTAACAATTATCAATGCCATCTGATTCACATGACACACTTAAAGTTTCGTTAAGTCTCCTACACCCAACCCCAATTGTCATCTGATTCACATTTCACCCTTAAATATTCGACAAATAAAGTTCCCGCATTTTAATGTATCCTAAGGACAACGACAATGGCACTATGCTAAAGTTCGAATGCACATAGGACCAAGTAAGGCTGAGGACAATTAACCAGGCATTTCCTGGATGCAATCAAATGCATTGAGGAAGCATCAACGCAAGGTTTTGTCCATTACCAAGCCCTGATTTCTGTCCAACGACAAATACATGCAGCTGTTCTCATCATTCCATGTTAATAGCTCTCCCTCATTTTGGTGATAAGCTTTTGTGAACACGAAATAAATTAATCCTTGAAATTTGAGAACAAAGCTTTGTAGCTATTGATAAGTAAAGCAGTTGCATTGATGTTAAGAGTAAAAAATCAGCAACACCAGACTCATCGTCTCATATTTCCATCAAATTGGCAAAGGGAAATATCATGAACAAGATATGGGTCAGAAAATTGGATTTTGACCGTTAGCTTTTGAAAAACCATGTCCATAAGTAAAATCAAGCAGAGAACCTATTGTTTCGATTGTAAAAAAGCGTAGCTAAGACGGTCTATACACTTTCCAAAGAGTCACATTCAAAATTACAAATCAATATATCATCTTCAATTTTACTTGATTAAAATTCCAAGCAAAAGTCAGTTTCAAATGAATAAGCAACTGCAACTATACATATTATCTAATGACTGAGCAAAATAAGAACAAACTTTCCCTCCCGGAGACGTTCACTTGAATATCAGAACAATTAAGTGGATCTGCTGCTCCGGGCGAAGTCCACAATTTTGAAGACGGCAACAAAAAGCAACGAATTCATACACAGCAGAACACCGGCTAGTTTGAAACTGATTCCCCTTTTAAACAAAATGCCTTCTTATCACTACAGATCTATCTTTAGTAATCTCTGTTCCCCTTCTACTTATGGAAAAACTTCTCGCTCAATCATACTTCACAGATTTATTGCCTTGTTGCTGCTTTGTTGGCTCGGCAGGGAAGTATTTTATGCCAACTAGATCACCCACTCTGCTGATAACCTATGAAAGAAGCACAATCACAGAAAATTACCACACAACATATCATGGAAGTAGCGAATTTAAAAACAATGCTGCAAGAAGCATATCGAAACAAACAAAATGACAAGACATATTGACCCTTGATATCTGATACAAGCAGAGGAGAGAAAAGGGGAATTGATTTTGAGTTGCTGGTAGAATAGAAAATATTCATTTTCTCAACAGTGGAAAAAAACAGTGCAATAATGCTGCACAAAACCTTATCAGCTACCTTTATACACAAAATTGGCACATCATAAAAAGGGTGACATGGGTGACATTGTGCCTAGTGGGGTTTGGGAAGGGTACATGTATCCAGTCTTACACCCCACAAACGGGCTATTTTCAGGATTCAACCCATGACCTCCAGGTCATAAGGCAGCAACCTCACTGTTATGCCAAGCCTCACCCTCAAAATTGACACAATAATAAAAGATAACCGATAAATGAAATTCAAAATACACACCTGCAAGGCTTTGACCAGGTCTTCCCTTGAATGAGCAGCAGATATGCATATGCGAGCTCTAGCCAGTAGCAGTGGGGTAGCAGGAAATGCCACTGTCACAACAGCAACCTAAATTCAAAAATGGTAAACGTTAATTTACAAATTTATTAATATTCTGATATAGGGTATTGATGAGGAGCATAAATAGTTGGATGTTGGTGTTCTCACATTCTGCTTGAGGCACTCCCTTGAGAAGGCAGGGATTTTGGCCGGGTTGTAAAGCATGATTGGCATTACTGGAGAATCATTATCCCCAAGAACCTCAAATCCCATCTTCTGTAGTTCTGACCTGAAAAAGTTGCTATTTTCTCGAATTTGTGCAAGTTTCTGTGCACCTATATAGGAACAACTTAATTCAATGCAAGGTAAACAAAGTAGATGGATACTTTTTGGATTGATGCACATAAAAGCCATTGATCAACACATATGCAACGCAAACAGTAGAGAAAGTGCTAGCCAAACCTCTATTGGAACCATCCTCTCCAAGAATAACTTTTAGAGACGATATTATTTGTTGTGCAGCTGGTGGTGAAATTGAAGTTGCATAAAGATGAGCAGGGCAAGTGTACTTCAAGTATTGGATAAGTTCCTGACAGTCGATACAAAAGTTCATTATAAGAAACAGAGTTCAAAGTATCCTAATAGTAAGATACATAATATCCATGATCCAAACTTGTAGAGAACAATCAGAAAAAGGTCAATTTCATTGTGTGAAACAAAAAATTTCCACAAGTAGCTCCAACAGCACATGACAACAGAAATATTACTTGAATAAAACTGACAGAGTGGAGAGAAAATAAGACAGATAATTGAGTGGAGAGAACAGAGTGATATCTGGGCTCAAGATATTCATTGGAGGGTGTATTTCTGTTACATTTTCCTTTCTAGTATCAGAACATAATTTCCATTTGTAAGGATATACGTTGCACAAGTATTGGTTTAAAAATCCAATACAAATTGACACAGTATGCAAACTCAATAATATTTTTTAGAAATTGAGATACAGATGTTGGCCTTGCGGCAATATATATCAAATAAAATATTCATATTTAAAAATGTAAACAAAATAAACTAATTCATGATTATTCTATTCCAATTCCCAAGCCCCATGCATTCTCTCTCTCGCATAACCATTTTACCTGTCAATCCCTGGTTATCCTCTCTCTTCCACTCACTTTAATACCATCATTATATCTTGCCTACCATCAACAATTGCCATTTTAATAGTTCATTCAGTTAAGATGAAAGTCTGTCACTCTAGCAATAATATTAAGGAGCACAAATTTCAAGATTGGGATTTTTTTTTTAATTTTGCAGGGAAGTAATTGGCTTTTTGAGTATCATATAAGCATCACTATTCAATAGTGAATACAAATACAATTGTAAATGGATCATACAAGCATCAGTATTGGATACAAATACTCTAGCAATATTGAAGTACCACGTACATCCATTACATAATCCTGTTTAACTCTAGTTACCTAACAGAACCAAACATTTTCAAGTTCACTCCCATCCCTGATATTCTATAGATCCTTTTCCTTTTTCTTCATATGTGATGAGTTTCATAACCTATTCTGATTTTAAACTGATAGAAGAATATCATATGGTTGATATTCAAATAATCAATAGGAAAGAAAATCTGAACACCCATTCTGACAGATTTTAGCAACTTACTTAGAGTCTAGTATTTTTTTTTTAAAATGTACCTTAGATCCCGCAATATAACCTCCACATGATCCAAATGATTTGGTGAACGTTCCCATCATAATGTCTACGTCAGCAGTATCCACACCCAAGAGCTCACAAACACCTCTTCCTGTCTTACCCACTGCTCCTATGCTGTGTGCTTCGTCCAAATATGTATATGCCTACAAAGCAATGGAAAAATGCAGAAAATAACAATGAACCAAAGTAAAATTGCAAACAAAACTCTAATAAGTTTATCCAAAATCTCCCTTATATGTGTTTTGTTGGTCATAAATTCTCTCCGAGCTAGACTTTAAAAGAAAAATGTAGCAGCATTAAAAATGAGACTATCCAAAACTATTCCAACAAAACAAATCTTAAGGGGAAGTAAATCTTATTTCTTTTATATGACAAGCCCATTTAAGTCAATGGCATAAATTTAAGTTAAATGGAATACAGTCTTCCAAGACAAACCATTTAGAACAGTCCATTCGGAAATTTTGCAGTTAGCCTCATCTGTGTAGACTTTCACAGACTGGATTTTAAACTCAAGACTAAATAACACCCCCCATGAAAATAGAAAATGATAAACGCACATGGGAACAGGTATAAATAAAATAATCACAATTCATACGTTATATTATAGCTACCATAATAACCAACCTTATATTTTTTACATATAGCTATGATCTCTGGAAGTTTGCAAAGCTCTCCTTCCATGCTGTATATCCCCTCCACAATAACCATTATCTTCTTCCAAGGCCTATGTGTCCTAGGCTGTCCCTCAGCAATTTGTTCTCTTAACACTTCTTCTAGATGAGATGGTACTGTAGGTAAATAGACAAGAAGAATGTGAATTAATAATGCTGAGATTTCTGTTAGTGATAGAACCAAAAATCAAACAGCAATATCAAATTATCAATAATCCACAATTTTCAGAATGAAGTGAAAAAAGTGTTTTAGTCTCACTATATGAAATGAGATATCCAAGTGTCGGAAACAACAAAGGAAATGAACAGGAAATAATCAAGTAACCCTCTGTTTCCTTGCTCAAGCCTTAAGATGAATTCTGAGATTGATTTTTCCTCCCTCTCCTCACTTCCCTCCCTCTCTATAACAGATTCCTCTAACCCCCAACCATCATGGGCCCCCACACCTTTTGTCCATTCATCATAACTAACTACCCCCAGATCATTTGCCACATGTCCCAACATGGCAGAATGGCATGGCAGATTTTTAGCCAACTGCCACAGGCAATTTGTGAAGGGAGGCATGTCACAGCAGCGCCATAGGTCGCAGTGAAAATATGTAACCCAGCAGGTAACCAAGTGTTCAAATTGCAAACAAAAATAACTAATCAAAAGCCAGTTCAGTTACACTTACACTTTCTGTTCAATTCTGTTAGCAGAAATGAAGTCACCATGTGAAATCTAACTGTCCTATACATATTTAGCTTCAAGATAATGATATGGTGCAAAAACAGCAGCCACCATGATCTCTCAACCCATGAATTCAAGAGGCAAAACCTTTTGTAACAGTATGTAGAGATTGAAAAGTTGGCCACTTAATGACTAACTCATAAAACTTATTCTAGTATACAAGAAAGATACTCACTGTTGTGTTGAAAAACGCGAATAGTTGCTCCTGATCCTCGAGCACCATTAACAATTGAGTTGTGGTTCAATGAATCACTAATAATCAAACTTCCCTGTTAAAGAATGTTATACCAATGAATAATCATGCAAACATTATCATCTCAACAAGGTAAAATCACTAAATTTTATAAACCTTCCCCATCAGGACTGGAAGAATGGCGGAGTTTGTCACATAGCCCATGCCAAAAACTATAGCAGCTGGCTTCCTAACAAAGTTTGCAACGCACTCCTCCAGTTCATTGTGAAGCGCAGTTGTCCCTATTGGAGAAACCATATTCAGGGGAACATAATAAGACAAAAAAAAAACAAAACCACATTTTAATGGCTAAAATACAAACTAATAATACCTACCCCCATCCACACGCGTGCTGCAAGTGCTTGGAGAATACTTTTTCAATGTATCAACTACTCGGGGCGTGCAGTATTCATCTGCCGCAGCAAAACCAAGATAGTTGTATGATCCCAAGTTAAGGCATCTACTTAATTTATCAGTTCGCCTGCATTCGGAAAATAGCAAGAAAAATAGGCTTCCAATAAATTTATGAAGTTAAAGCTCTAAACTAAAAGAAAGATATTTCAAAAAAACACTCCCTCCCTCCTGGATCTAGCTCCTCTAAAGTGAGGGAGTGCACTTGAAGGGATAAAATGCAATCACAACCGTTGATTAGAAAATCAATGGTTATAAATAATTGCAATAAAAATAAATACATATATAACAAAATTTACAATTAATTATAATGTCAAGACCTTTGATTTTTCCAATTAATGTTTATTATTGCACTTTATCTTCTAAAGTCCACTTCTCTCAACTTTGGAAGAATCATATCCCCCCTCCACCCCCTCATCAAACAAAAAGCAAAACAAAACATAATTAAAGGGCTGAAAATTAAACAGAGCGTTATACTTCAGTGTCTTGTTATTATCATTCGAGTAGCGTTCGACTACATCAAACCAAGCATCAGGAGCACTTGCAATTGGCCTCCCAAAACAGTCCTACGAAAAACAAAAAGTAGGAAACTCCGCAAGTCAAAACCACATATCTCCGTCGCTATTTACACCACATGGCAATCGGTTAGCCACCCAAAAATCACAAAACGCACAGCAAATAAATAAACAAACAAACAAATGTTCAAATTTCAAAATATCCAACACTGGAAAATTGACCGAGACGATAAACATGCGGTGTTCATTTCTCCCCTCACTACAAAGGAAGCGAAAAGTGAAAGAAAAACCTGAATTCGAAGATACAAACGGCGAATATAAAAATCCTCGAGCCCCAAGCAGATCGGCGCGTAACCCTGAGAAACAACGCGTGATTGTTATCACAATTAAATAATTATGATGAAATTAAAAGGAAAGGAATTGCGAAGAAAGAACCTGAAGATTGTTGGCGCTGCACCAGTCGAAGATTTTCCTGAAGAAATCCCTGAATTGGCCGAAGGCGAAGAGCAAGCCGTAGCTGAAGTAGGTGGTTAAGGCGGTTAAATAGGGAATCGCAATCATGTTGTGGAGGAGGATCTGGATTCTGAGTTAGGAAACTCGTTTCGCGTTGCGGCAGCGATCAGAGATCCGAACCCGAGTCTCGCGGACCCGTGAAGCGGTGGTCTTTGGAAATGGGAAGGGGGTGAGGGGGGGAACGCTGTGCTGTGCTGTTCTTTTCTTTTGTTTCGTGTGTCGTGTTGTGTTGTGTTGTGTTGGGGAACAAATGAAAAGGGACCGTACAATGACGAAGGAAAGAGAGAAAGGTCCACACCTGGCGGCTAAACCACGGTTCCCTCCTTCCAGTTATGACTAGTTTTTTTTTTTTATATATATATATATATATATATTTTTTTTTAAGGTGTGGAAATTGGGATAGATTGAATTTTCGTTTGATTTGATGTTTTGAAAAAGAATATTATTACGACTGCCGCTGGATTTTGTTTTAACGAAAAGACTTAAATATGTTTTTAGTTTTTTAAATTTAAGATAAATTTATTTTTGGTCTTTTAAATTTAAAATTGTTGTTTTTAGTCCTGTAATTTTTAAAAATTTTATTTTAGTCTCTTAGGTCACCAATAATATATTTAAAAGTGATTAATTAAGATAGTTATGCAATATCAACTAGATTTAACGTGATATTTTCACTAATATAGATAATAATAGATAAATTTTATGCAATAATGTTTGATAAATTTTTTAACAAAATTTGAATATAAGGACTAAAATAAGATTTTTTAAAATTACAAGGACTAAAAACAACAATTTTAAATTTAAAGGACCAAAAATAGATTTACCTTAAATTTGAGGGACCAAAAACATATTTAAGCCTAACGAAAATTAATTGATCGATCGTTTCACATTAACTATAGCTCGTCTAAAATATCTGACTCCGAAGAAAAATCTATAAGAATTACTCATGAGTTAAACATGTTTTTTTACTTCCTTAAATTTAGATAAATTCGCTTTTATTTTCAATTTTAAAATTATTTTTTCTAGTTATTATAATTTTTAAAAATTTTATTTTAATCTCTTAAATTATTAATTATATATCTAAAAATAATATATTGAGATAGATAAACATTTAATGTAATGTGATGTTTTATGTGACATTAGTAAAATAGGTAGACTTTACACGACAGTATTTGATAAATTTTCTTTTAAAATTTAAATATTGAGACTAAAATAATTTTTTTGAAATTATAAAAATTAAAAAAAATAATTTTGAATTTTAGAAACTAAAAAAATTATGTAAAATTTAAAAGACTAAAAAATATTTAAATATTTTTATTTTCTTTTTAACTATTTTTTTAAAAAAAATTGTATTACGTTTACTCTGTGCTATAAGAGTGCTTATTTTAGACAATTTTAACTCTTTATAAAACTATAAAATAATAAATAGCAAAGTAAACAAAAAATTGATATATTAGTTTTTTTTAAAAAAAATATAATCACCCACTATCTCAACTAATCATATGTGTATTCATATAAAGGTTATAAAGGTAGTAAAGCATTGTGTCCCCTAAGGCCCTAATAAATATAATAAAAATAAAGGTATTTTTATTTGTTTGAGTTTAAGTTTAAAAGTTGAGTTATATATATATATATATAATTTAATTTTCATAGTTTAAAATTATTTCTCTTTAAATTAGAATATAAATTGCTTATTACAAAAACATATTAAACATTAATGTATATAGTAGATATTTACCTATTAATGTTAATAATATGGGGGGGGGGGGGAAGTTTAGTAGATGTATTTGATGGATCTCACACTATATATGTTTATTAAATTTGTTTTCTAATTTTGTAATTTTTAATAAATTACTACCATTAAGAATAAGTGTGATAAAATGAATGTGCCAAAAAGTGTCTTATTGGTACTCCTTTTATCATATTCTCCAATTTATCAAATTTATATATGAAAGAGATATAAATGACTACATAATATCCAAAAAAATTATTTTTCATATCAAATGAAGTCATGTAAGAAAATGTAATAAGTCTATCTTTGTTATATCATTATTATTGTGTATAAAAGAACTAAGATTCAAATTCAATACATATTTTGTCTACTTATTTGACCTTCTATATGATAACATCTATACTTATATATAAAAATGGTTTCTTATTTTTGTGTACACAATTTTTAGACTGTTTTATCCTTAAATTTTTAAATAATAAAAAATCATATTAAAATTAATCATTCTTACAAACTCAAGACTTGAACCCAAGAATTTAAATTTAAGAACTAGACAAGATATTGTTGAGATTCATGCATGGTGAATCAAGTTCTGAAGTATTTTGATGATAACAAAGGTCATGAATGAACAAAGGAGAAGACATGAAGACCATGAATGAATATCAAATGTAATAGGATTAGTTTATGTGTTTTTATGTGTTATGTTGTTTTGTTAGTCAATTTTATGTTCTATGCATGTTTATGAGTGTTTATGCTTTGTGCACGAGTCAAGTCTTAATTCTGATTGTCTAAGAATAAGTATGATGATGATTGAGAATAACTTGGAGAGTTTCTGGATGTGTGAAATCGAATTTTGAGAACTAACTCAAATAATCGATTATTACTAACTATAATCGATTATTTCTGTTCTATTTTTCAATAGTTGAGAACCCTTACTGTAATAATCGATTATCTGTGAAATAACCAATTATCCCATAATGCTTTTTGGAAAAATCGATTATTGTAAAATAATTGATTATTTTGTTCTTGAATGATTTCCAGAAATCCTGAAGAACAAAATAATCGATTATCCTTAAAAATAATCAATTATCTAAGTTTGAAAACTTTATGAAAAAGGTTATCTCATTGAGAAACTCATAGAAGAGAATAATTGAAAAAGGGAAGTGATATTGTGAAAACTTTGTGACATACTTTTGATCTTTGTGATTTTCTTGGAGAGTTTTCTTTGTGAAACCGAGAAGTAAAATACTTTGTGAAATGTTTTGAGAAAAATCATCATCATCACTACATTCTTGGAGAGAGGAACTAAGATTGGTCAAGAATTCACAGTCTGATCTGTTCAATTTTCAGGTGAATTCGTTCCTTAAATCATTTTGTGTATTGTGGTAAAAAATCTTGAGTAGGTTTCGCAAGTGGTAAGTGAAGTTAGCGGAAATACACACAGAAGGGGGGTTGAATGTGTGTGTGAGTGTTCAAAGGAAGATTTTTCAAAATCGCTTTGTAAAGATACTCCTTTTTCTTTTAATAAATAGAATGTTCAATCACTGTTGAAAACTTGTGCAGGCTTGTCTAACTAGAAAGCTTTTTACGTCTAATAAAATTGATCGTCTACTTCAAGAAACAAGTTGAGTAAGTTTGTTTTCTGTCTGAAACACTTTATCGTCTAGATAAAATGAATTATTTCTTAATCAAAATGAGCAAGTGTGTTTTCATCTAACAGTTTGTTGAAATGAAAGTAGATGAAAGACGAAGTAAGTAGCATTTGAAAAATAGAAAAAGGTATGCACAGATGTTTATACTGGTTCACTCAATCTGAGTTACGTCCAGTCTCCTTCAACTGAAGGGTTCCACTAATCACAGAGGATTACAACTATTCTCAACCACTTCTGGCTCGTCAACCTCACTTGTCGATGCTAGTATTCTTAACCACTTATGGTTCTCCAAGTATTCTTGACCACTTCTAGCCCGCTAGCTTCACTCACTAGCGCCAGTATTTCCAAACCACTTCTGGTTCGCAAGTATTCTTTCTTCTTGCCTCTTCAGGCTTTACAGCACATGAACATCCATAGAGAGCTTACACTTAAAGACTATTGGACCTTAAATAGGTCCATGATTAGGAGGTTAGAGGAGGCTTCTACAGAGGAGGTGCTTCTTAGACCTATGCTTTATATGAGCATTGAGTACGATTCCTCTTTTTAGTCTTATAGTTTCTATTGTACATACCTTCTATAGTTTGGGTTCTTGTACCTTGTATATAGAAAATACTTGTATAAGCTTATTTTTGCCTTTGTATTTATAAGGCACCTTTATCATTCTTTATAGGTCATACCTTTAGGATTTTAGGGTATGTTGCTTGGAAACTTTTACTTCATTTGACCTTGTATCAAGGGTCATAGATTTTCATATTTTTAGTTTTAGAAGTGGGGTAGCAAGTAACAAGTAGGGTTGGGAAAATTAAATTGCACTGAACTGAACTATTAAAAACTGCATTGAACTGAAAAATAGTTCACTTAAACTAAACTAAACTAAAAATTAATTCAGGTAAATTGAACTGAACTTTTTTTTTATTCTATCAAATTGTACTGCACTAAACATATGAACTAAACTGAACTACTATGCATCTTAATTTGTTTCTGAACTACACTATTTTCAAACTGAACTATTTATGAATTGTTTCTAAACTGTGCTAACTTTTTTTAATACCTTGAAAAAAAGATAGGAATGAAAAAAATAGTAACATAAAAAAAAACAAATTTATAATAAGGTTTTCATGAAGAACTGGCAACAAGATTTTCAACTTCATCCAAAAGACAATCTCTCTCTTGCTGCATTCATAAATCAAGTGCATGAGTATTAATTTTTATAGTGTCAACTAAATTAGCATAACTATTATTGAACCTGCATTGTTCTATTCTCATCCTCCAGTTCCATTATCTTTCTTCCCAAGTGCTGCTTGAGTACTTCAGCATCGAATATTCCAAATAGCTTCATCTCAGGTCGTACGGACATCAATACCAATATGTAAATTAATAAAATAAGGCAACAGAAAATCTGGAAAAAAAACTTCTAAACGAGTCTAACTATAATATTTTCTAATTCCCCAATGATGTTGGTATAAGATCATTCTACTACTTTAATAATATTCCTTTTGCTTTTAATGTCTTGTTAAATTATTAAATTCCCATATGATAAATAATTTGATAATTTTTAGTAGTATAACAAACTTAATAAGATATCTGCCTAAGTTACAAAAGGATGGACTCAAGTAAAACACATTGTTCACTGATGCTGAAAACATTATTCCACTAGGACCCTGGCAGGTTTGGTTTCACTGGCAGGGTGTTGTGCCAAGGCCTATTTTGAAGAAAAAGTGCCTATCAACTTTCTGGTTGCACATAATGGTTGCACAAATAATTCCAAATAAGAAAGTACACAAACCAAATATAAAAGGAACCCAATTTATTGACCCTTCTTCCCCATTACATGCAAAGGCTAACTTAAATACACCAACAGGCATGCAAAATTTAGAATGAAACATATTCACCATTAAGAAATCGCCTGGAAGTTTCCCAGATTCAATAACAAGCAATCTTCTCAA